TTTTTTTTAACATTTTCAGTAAGCATTTGGTTAAACCCAAGGATATACTGGGCTTTCCTCAGAGCTCACAGACTATGCTCCTTTACTCTACATGTAGTTCAAGCAATCTCAAAGATTTTCAATGTAATGAGAAACTAAAATGGAAGGAAGGAAAGAAAAAAGGAAGGAAGGAAGGAAGGAAGGAAGAGGAGAGAGGGAAGGAGGGAATAAATATACCACAAACTGATTAACTGATGCTAAGGGAGTAATAAAAGCAAAACTATGGAAAATGCAACAATTTAGTTTTTAAAGGTCGCGAGAACACAAGGAAAAAGAAATACAATTTAAATTTAAAAATATAAATTAAATAAAATGAAGTGATCTATGAGTGATTACACTTTTTCACTTGTGTTGCATTTTATAGTTTACAAAGCATTTATGCACAGGCCATCTGCAGCAAATTTTCTGGAATGAGAAATTAAAAAATTAATTTAAATGATTTACAATCCAATAAATTTGTAGAGAATCTTCACTAAAAACAGTAACGGCAAACAACACTTTAGAAGGAAAAATTTTCAGCATTTATATGTAAGATGTCTCAGAAAGGCAAATGTATGCAAACAGCTATAAAACTACAAATCACAGAATTTTAGCACAAAAGGAAACATGAAATCAGATCAACATACTCATTTAAAAAAAGAAACTTGGGACCTGAATCAAGGTGACTAGGGACATTACTCCATACCCAAAATGACAAGAGGACCAGACTGTAAAACCAAAACATACGGAAAATTCAAAAAAATATGAAAAAGAATCAGAATTTAATAATGGATTAGTTATTAACCAGTTTTTAAAAATTTTTGTTTTGTTTTGTTTTGTTTTGTTTTGTTTTGTTTTGAGAAGGGTATTGCTATGTAGCTCAGGTTTGCCTCCAACTCTTGGCAATCCTCCTGTGTCAGCCTCTCAAGTGCTTGTAGTACAGGGATGTGCCACCATGCCTGGATCAAAGTCCCATTTCTAAAAGAAGCTTATGCCATACAGGTAAATATCAGTCATTTCTGGGAAAATGGCTACAACTTGAGACCATAATATTAAATGAAAGAAATGAGACACGCAAATTTAAATATCATATTATTTCTCTTATACAAGAAACCCAAAATATAAAAGCAAAATAGAAGATAGATAATAGGAAAAAGGGAGACAGCTTTTGAAAAAGCAAAGAGGATCAAGAATTGGAGAGAGGAGGAGAAAAGGAGGAAGGAATGGGGAGAGGGGATAAAAAAATTAAGATGTATTATGAATAAGTACCAACTCTCTATAAGGAATGTAATCATATATTGCAAACATGTACTCATATAAAATTTTTTTTAAATTTACAGTTTAATGAAAGAAGTTTCAAGTTTCCTTCAAAATTAAAACCAGAAGAGTAAAACTGATGTATAACTCTGAAAAAAAAAAAAAAAAAGGATAATCCAGTGTTATTAGACTTCTGATTCTACTGATGGGATTTCATCTCAATAAGTGTACCTCTATCTATTTTTATCACTGGTTTTTTTGTTCCTAGTGATTCAGGGGCACCCAGTGAAAGTACACATTACTGCTTCCCATTCTAAAACATAGGGGATAAAAGGGAAGAGGTCAGAACAAAAATATTACCTAAAATGAGGGTGACTAGACTGACTAACTTCAAGTCTTCCATAACTCAAGGGACTATAGCTTCTATTTTGGTTTAAGCTACTTATCTTTTAAATCTGATAACTGTACTAAGCTTTTTTTAAAAAGCCTGTTGCTTTCAATAGTCCCAAAAATACTGTAGATATCCTATGGATAGGTTATCAGGGAGGAAACATGGATACAACTCACAACTCACTTTACTTGCATTTATGGAACTGGACTTGTTGCTATCAGTGTTTTATAATAATCTCCCTTGTTCAGCTATGTTTCCAATGGAAATATAAAATAGACACATCTACACTTACAAACTATTTCCCAGAAGGAGGCTAGAGACAAAATCTGCACATCCTTAAATTAAGTAACATAGTTCCCAGTTGTCACTAGGCTATATTATTACTTCTAACACCATATTATAAAAGAAATACACAGACTATCTAAATTATTAAGGGAAAAGGGAAAGTTGCAAAGGCCCAGACCTCAGTTCTAATAGTAAGAAAAAGAACTGATACCATAAGGCCTATCAGAGGCCAATGATCAAAAAGTAACCAACTGGTTTAATGTGCGAGAGAAGCAAAGAAAAAGTGCTTATCTACAGTCTATCTAATCTGTCCAATGGGCAGGAAAGTTACACTAGATGAGAGAAATTTGTAATGGTTCTGCAGCTCAGATAGGATATGAGGATCTTTCATCCAACTCCTGAAACAGATATTTCATCCAACCCACACCCTCCTCATCACCCAGTATTTGTAGGTAAACTAGAAAGGTACCCACCACAGTGTTTTTTGACTTTCTGACAGGAAAGCAATGGAAGGCCCTTTGAGAATTCCTGTGATTATCATACTTGGCAAACTCACTACCAAGATAATAATAAGCATCCTGGGAATCCCCTATGCTCTATGACTTAAGGGATTCTACTCAGTACTATGTACCTGTACTGACCACCCATATCTTCCCTAAAAGAAAAGTTGGGCCAACCAAGACCACAAAATATGCAACATAATATTCAAACAAAGTAAGCGTACTTGGGAGATGGGGCAAAAAGGACTAATATAAGGAACAGAAATAGTACCTTAGAGAAGTACCTAAAAGAAGATACATGAAATTGATGACATCCAAGTAATAAAAGCTGAAAATGTCCTTGAAAAACAATTAGAAATCACAGTCTGGTATAATGTCCAACAGAAAAAAGGATTTTTCAAGGGATGTTCAATACTCTGTCCCCCACCCTACCATTCAGCACCTCTACACGACCCCCATCACTTACTCAACATTTAGTCCTAGTGAAGATGGCTAACTGGATTAGCAGGATCAAGAGGACATGCAGGGAACATTCTATCCTAGGAACATCTTTAAATTATTTAGACTTGTTTATCACCTTGTTTTACGGAGTACAACCATGAAATTTTGCCAATACTTTCATAATATATACTATTTGGTACCATAGTAACCCAATTCTCTGCCTACCCCAAAATTAACACATATACAGAAAACAGGAAATTCAGAAAAAAAAAAGTAAAGTTTAACCCTAGAGTCTCTGAACAGTTAAATGTCTGAAAAAGCAGTATCATTGTATCACACCCACTTCATGTTACCCTTATAGCTTCCTGGCAAATTAAAGTTCTTAGGATTATACAAACGGCTGCTTTTGTTTCCAACCCAAGTTTTCTAGAAATGAAACCCTGGAATGAGGGAGAAAGAAAAAAAAAAATGTTGGCAGAAAAAGGGAAGGCAATGCATTGTCTTTGTAATCCTAGTTTAAGTAGAACATTTAACATTATTTCCATCAAAGACTTTTATTCAATAATGCCACTTACTGATAAATGCAGATCTAAATCATTCCCTTGGCTTAAACTATACCAAAAAGCAATTTAATAGACACAATCCTACAGATTTTTTTCAGAAATAAGGAAGAGATTAACTACAAACTATATAAAATTCAAGTTTTGCACTTTATCAAGTTCAGTGTGGGCTAAGTAGGTGTAATATGTGAGAGGGGCAAAATATCTATAAAAATAAAATACAGTACCTTTTCTTATGAGATACATCTATTTTCTCTTCAAGCTATATACCCTATGCAGCCCATTTTTGTGATCCACTGCTCCTAAAGTATAAAATCTAAATAAGAAATAGAAATAAAATGCTGCAGACGAGTTCACAAAACCTCCTTAGACTTTTCCACAAAGTACAAAAGATAGGAAACGCTTCCATTTTATCTAGTTTTAACAAATTGCTCAAGGAATGCCTACTTATTAAGTTGAATCAAATGCCACAGCTAGCTACCTTTAACCCAAAAATATTTCTAGTTCAAGAGCCAAAAGACCCAAGCAAATACGCAAATACTTTCTTTTCCCATTATTCCCAACATGAAGAAATCCGACCCCCTTCCTACTACATCACAGCTTATGTGAAACTAACCAAGAGGCCCCTCTGGCCAATCTGCCTCCCCCCCCCCCACTAACCTCCAACCAATTCCAGAAGAGACAAACCTCAAACAAATTTAACCCTTGAAATCCATCCCTGAAACTGTACAATATAATCAAAGCTTCAGGGCACCAGTGTCTTACATAGACATGTGAAGATTTCTTCATCACGTAAGTGTAAGCATCATGCTCACAACATCTTGGCATCCACAGAGGGTGCAAGGACTGCAATTTACTTAAGAACCTTTCATTCATCAACATCATACTCAACATTAAAAATCACCATCTCAAAAGAAAAAGTGTCTCCTTCTGCACAAGGACACTTACCTTTTAATGCCTCTACAATGAATGAGGAGAGGCAAGAAAGAAAGACTAACAGACCCTCTCGCTTAAAGTTTTCCTCCCCGCCAAACTCGGCAGCCACAGCATCACAACCTGTCCTTGTCACACACACAACCTGTATTGTCAATCTTTAAATCTCCCTCTAACATCGTCAGACTGGGCAGTGTCTGACCCTGGGGAGTGACTGCTTGGAGGGAAGGGGTAAAAAAAACAAAACAGCCAAACACCACAGCTGTGTAGTCATGACTAGGGACCCTGGTGTCCGGCTTCTCCATGTCTCTTGCAAGAGACTACAGAGAGCTCGAATTCTGTCACTGACCACTAACTCAACCCACCTTCCAATCTAGACAGTACATTTGCTTCCTTTCCTAAATCCTTTAGGCACAACCCCTGAAAGGGGACCAAACTCCAGGCGCAAGGGGAAAAAGCTGTTTTATTCTCCCATTTCTACCTCCCGAGCTGCTCCCTCAACCCCCCTCCACACACACGAAGTCAAAGGCGCGGGGCTAGGCTGAAGCGCCTCCGAAGGCTCAGCCCTCGGAAAGGCAGGCACGGTCGCCTCCATCTCGCGGTCCCAGCGGCTGGATGGCCAAGGTCACGGCGCTCGGGGCCGAGGGGCGCCCGCGCCGACTTCCGGCTCCCCCTCTCGGCAGCGGCCCGGGGCGCCCGCTCCCCACCCTGGCCGCAGCCGCTCAGCCTCGCGCGCCTTGCGCGGATGCTCGCCGTCCGCTAACTAGGGCAGCGGGAGAGCCGCGCGGGGAAAGCGCTCTGCAGCGGGTCCGCGCGGGGGAGCAGCCCCCAGCTGGTGCCCGTGACAGCTGCGACCTCCGCCCCCTCCAGCCACGCCAGGCCAGGAGAACTCGGGGAAAGTGGGAGGGGGAGATGGAACCAGAGAAAGGAGGGCAGGGGCGGAGGGCGCCAGCTGCTCCCCGCCCCCTAGGGCCTCGGCGGCCGCGCGGCTCGTGACAGCTGCACCCACCGCGAGGCTCTGCGCCCGCCGCCGCCACTCACCTGCTGCCGCCTCCTCTGGGCCGCGCTCCGGGTCGCCACGCTCGCCCGCGACCGTGGCGGAGCCGCCGCGGCCTTCGCCGCTGCTCGGGCCCGGCGCCCGGCCCCTGGGGCCCAGGCGGCCGCCGCCGCGGCGGCTATCCGGCCCCCTCCTCCGGAGCTGAGGTCCCCCCACAGGGGGATGCAGAACGACCCTGGCTGGGTTCTGCCTGAGAGGACAGCAGCAAACAGGCAGCCGGGGTGTTCAAGGCCGCGGTCCAACCGTCGAAGGACAGTGCTCGGCGAATCAGGTCAGTCTCCCGCTCGCCTGGCCTGAAGAACAGGCATTTCAGCCGCTCTCCGCGGCCGCCATGTTCTCCTCCTCCTCGGCCGCCGCCGCCGCCGCCGCCCCCCGCTTGCGGCCCCGCCCCCTCCGGGCCC